TAATCCTAACCATGTCCCAAAAGTCCTACCTCTAGACACCATAGTTGGACTAAGTTTCCCATCTCTTAATGGCACACAATGGAGACTAAATTCCAATAAGAGTTTGCAGGAGACAAATTATATCCAAACCATAGTAGGATATATTTATCTACTTTCCAAGGTGGATAATGCCATCAACAATTTATTAATACATACTCTCTGCATAGCAAATGCTATGGACTCAGCCCTGCCCTTGTCACGCTCAACTTACATAGCTAGATACTCCTCTGTGAGGAAACACGAGCTCCAGTAAGTCACTTGCTTGAGAATTTGAATACAGGTATGCCTTCAGAGCCATTGCTCACTGTTTTCTGCAGTGTAGATAACTGTTTCCATCACAAGGATGGAAAAGGTGTGGACTATCATGTGAAAAGGAAAAATGTGATTTTAAGCATTATTTAATTAATGGATTATACCAATTTCCATAATCTATAATCACACCAGTTTTCAACACAAAGCTTGCAACTAGGAATGAATTTTACATTTTAAGCAAGTTTCATAAAAAACAAAACAAATAGTTTTCACATACCTGTGTGACCTGCAAAACCTAACATATTTACCAAGTAGCAGTTTGTAGACCCCAGTCTTTCACAAACAGGAACTTTTTTTTTTTTTAATGCCTTGAGAACTGGCTTTGAGAAAGGTTAAAAAAATGCACTTTCATTTTTGAAGAGAAATACTTTTTTTTTTTTAAACTTCAATTAGTTGCAGTGAATTTGACTCAGTTTGACATTTATTTAGGGCCCACCATGTGCAGCACATTTTGACATTTAAAAATTAGATTTACCTCTAAGGCATAAAAATTATTAAAATCCAGGTAAAAAATCTAGTGTTAGGAAAATTGTCAATGCTAAGGGTCAAAAACGGAGGTGGGTGTTCTTGGGTTTGCAGAGGTAAAACATACAACCTGGAAGGCCAGGGAAGATTTCCATACTCCAAGCAAGTGGGGAACACAGGGAAGTATGCCACAGGAGGAAGGCAGCAGCAAATAGCTTATTTCTCACAATGTTAAAGGTATCAATTCTGGATCCTTGGGTCTATAGACCACGGAAACAAAACTAGGCCAAGACAAGGGTCTAGAACAGGCAAGCCTTTATTTTGTTTACGGGGGACTTCTGCTTGAGCCAGAAGGGAGACCACACTGACAGAGTATCTAGCTGGTATGAGCAAAGGACAAAGGAGTGCAGCATTTACAGCATGCAGGCTAGCAAGATCCCAGGCTCTGAGGTCATCACATGTACAGGAGGGATTGTGGTGTGCTCACATCATTCTTCATCAGGCTTCCACACACATGCCACGTCTCATTATCATCTTAGTCTCCACCTAGGGGCGTGCTTTGCTATGCTAAGGTACAGCTGACCGTGAGTAATGCCAGATATTCTTTTTTTGGATACTAGGGTTTGAACCAGAGGTGCTTAGCCACTGAGCCATATCTCCTCTTTTTAAAAGTTGAGACAGGGTCTTGCTAAGTTGCAGTGCCTTGCTAAATTGGAGACTGGCTTTGAACTTGCGATCTGTCTTCCTCCACCTCTCGAACTTCTGGGATTACAGGTGTGCACCCCTGCACCCAGCTTCAGTGACTATTCTACACATGCATTTACTTCTTGCCATCTGGAATTTATTCGCCTTATCATTTGGGAGTCTCCAATATTATTTCCAGAGTGCAGACCATTGTCCCATCCCAGTGGGACCAAGTTGTCAGAAATTTTTGATTCACTTCCATTTTTGGCATGTCTGCTGATCACATGGTCTCATATATTGAGCTGACTTCCCAATCTCCCATCTCCAGGATAATATTAATTTTTAGTCTTGACCATTTCACTTAAGTCCTAAGTCTCTACCATGTCTGCAAATCCTGTAAAGTTGAACTAGTTTGGTTGTCACATTCCCTTCTATTTCATTCCCTTAATCTTAGGGATGCTTAAGTTTTTCATCAGGGATAGGGGGGTCTGCTTCAGTAAGTGTGTAGTGGTTTTTGCAGTGAGTAAACAGTGAAGAGGGACGCTGGGTCCTCCTCCAGGTACTTTGGAAACAATACGTATTTGGGAAAGCTGAAGATAAATGTCATCTTTCTCCAGAGTCACATGGTCTGTCTTCAAGGTACAGTGGCTTCTCTTATGCTACCTGCATAATTCTCCTTGCCCCTTTGAATCCTACTCCTGTTTTCTGCCCACCTGGCTAGAAGGAGAGTCCTAACCTTGAAACATCTGTGCCTATCCGGGGCACTACTTCAGTTAGGTGCAGGCCTGTCTTGCTTGGGTTTCACTGACAGGAAATCTATATATTGCCATACATCTAGTTCTTGCACTGCCCCACTGGTGGAGGCCAGAGTGTGCAAGCAAGGGCAGGGATATGAGATTTGGAGAATAACAGAAATATACCGCTGAAGCCAGAATTAGAAGGCAGTCAGTGTAGATAGGTAAATCAAGTCAGGTGGGTCAAGGAGGACAATTTTGAGTGAGTCTGGGAAGTTGGAGACTTCCAGAATATACTGGACTTCTTGTCAACTCATTTTACTGTGATTTAGTTTGATCCCTTTGGCTGTTCTTTTGTTTTATAGTTTCTATAAATAGGAAATACTATATCTATACTCTTCATTGTGTTAAAAAACTTACATATTCCCGTATGTATTCATGTATACATAGTTTTAACTGATTTGCAGTCCCTCTTCACTGAGGGATCTTATCAAGAACCTGCCCCTGCTCCAACCTGTTGCCAAGGTAACCTGTCCCAGGAATTTCCCCTCTACAGGGAGCTAGAAGATTGTTAATCTGTCTACTCCATCCTGCCCTTCCCCCTACAACCCACCTATTTTCCACTTTTTGGCCATCCCAGGGAGCATTGTACACAGGAAGGAGAAAGATAAGGGGGAAAAGCAGGAGAACAAGGGAAGCCTAGGACATATAAAAAGGGCAGAATACCTCACTTCTGGGAATACCATGTTACCAGGGGTATGGCCCCCTTCTCCTTCGTGGGAGAAGTCTATGTTACCCCTTTTTAAATAAACCCTGCTTCATATGCTTGCCTCTGCATGCTTCTCTAATGTTCAAACTCAACATGTGGGGAAGCAGGACTCATCACCAGTAACCAGCGGTATGACAGCTGCCTTATTTGGAAGGGGTGTTTTCACCTGACTTTTCCAACCTGGAAGTCAGAACAAGATTGGTGAGGTCTGGATGTGTGTTAGGGGACAGACAGATGAGCATGTAGAAGACTCGAGGTTCAGAGAATAATTCTATAAAATGGGCCCACCTGATCTCCGTTTTCTGTGTAGTGGTTTTTGCTGTGAGTATAAAAGCAATTGGTCAAAAAGCAATTCACCTGCAACCCTACTTGGCCTGCAGGCCTAAGCCTGCACATTCCTCAGCAAACTGAGGGAGGACCAAAGGTCATGAATGATGGAGGCTGAGAAAGGATGACCACTGGTAATCAAAGAGAACAACTGCTTGTTAACTCCCATACAATTGGGCTCCTCCAGGAACTCTGGATTGCCAACAATGTACCTCTGCGCCCCTGCTCCCAGTCACATATATGGAGAATTAAAGGGGTTTCTAGGATCTGTAAGAAAGCAACATATACGATGGTGTGAGGGGGAAGGGAAGGGAAGGGAAAAAAAGAGAGAGAGAGAGAGATAATGTCACAGTAGTGTGGGTAGACAATAGGGATGGGAGGGGAGGGGAGGGGAGGGGAGGGGAGGGGAGGGGAGGGGAGGGGAGGGGAGCAGAATACAACCGACACTAGGATTGCTGTATGAATACACATGGATGTATAACCAATGTGATCCTGCAATCTGTACACGAAGAAACATGAGAATTCATACCCTATTTGAATCAAATGTAGGATATGTCAAGATCATTGTATTGTCTTGAACAACTAATAAAAAAATAAAAAATAAAAAGTCGCACCCCTTCCTAGGAATGTTCAGCTCCAAGGCCCCACGTCTCTTTATAATTTGTCTCTACCACTTTCTTCAATAAACTTGCTCTCCGCTTGCCTCTGTGTCTCTCCATAGTTTTCTCTTCCAAACTGGGGAACAAGGATCGTTCCCAATCTGCACCAGAGCGGTATCATGTGCATGTAACACACTCAAGGGTAAATAAGAAATTTGAACTTTGTAACCAGAAGATGAGAAGCCACAGGTTTCCGAGCAAAGATACTGATGACAACAGGCTGTGATTCAAGACTAAAAAGCTTAGATGGGAAACCTCGGTTCGACGAGGTGGTCAGGGCCTGAATTCACCTAGTACTTGCGGCTAGGGTTAGGATTTGTCCTGCTTTTCCTTCTCTTTAGAGGTAACAAAAACAAGACATGGGAGTGCTTGGGACGAAAAGGGTCGCCCAGGAAGACCGGACCGGCGATGCGCATGGCCCCTGGCGGTGGCGACCCAGAGCTGGGGCCTGGAAAGCTGCAGCTTGGGTGTCGGGAGCTGCGCCGTCCTGGACGTGGCGGAGAGGCCGGAGCACGAGGGGATGACTGCGTGCCAAGGGGAGCAGCCACTGGAGGCGAAGGCTGCGTCCTGAATGCTGAGGAGCACCGGGTTTGGCCACAGGACGCGCGGAGCCTCCGCCGGGGGCACGCTGTAGTCCTCACTCCGGCTCCCTGGGCTGAGGGACTGCATGGAGCTCTAGGTTACAAATCGCGCACTTTTTCCTCCTGGACACAGGTCCTTCCGCGACAGCGGGCGCCCGGAGTTACGTCATCGGCGGGTCACCTCCTCCGTGGCTGCAGACTTTAGGTGTCGATGGGAAGCCTGTCACGCGACATGCTGACAGTAAGGGTTTGACGTTTAACAGTGGAAGGAGTGCGTCTCTTAGGCCTCTTCTCTCCTTGACTTTGGCATTGTGGACATCTTCGGCGCCGCATCACGCGGGACCGCCCCCGATTTTACTCAGGCAGTATGTCGGAGAGCCCCGCGCCGCGGAGGGGGCGGGGCGGGCCAGGGCGGGGCGGGGTCCTGGCTGGGCCGCGTCGCGCTCAGGGGCCGCGCCGGGTAGCGTTTCTCTCCAGTGCCTGAGGCGGCTCTGGTTCGGAGAGCCTTTAGGCAGCTCTACGGGAACCTCTGTGCACGGATGGACCCGCCCGGACCCGGCGGGAAGCGGCCTGGCAGGCGGCGGGCCGGGCGGCATCAGCAGAGGCAGGACAGGGCCGAGGCCGCGGGTCCCTGAGGCGTGCGTGCCCACCGGGCCCGGCGGCAGCACCATGATGCCGGGCGAGACCCACTCGGCGGCGCCCGGGACGGCGGCGGACCTCTCGCGGTGTCAGGGCTGTGCCTCCTTGCAGCAGGTGCGTCGCCTCCCCGGGGCGGAGGGCGCGGGCTGCGTGTCAGGGGCTCTCCGGCTCCGCGGCGGGAGCTGCCTCGAGGCCCTCCTCCCGCTCCCCTTCTCGAATGTTTTGGGTACCTTTTGCTTTGCTTTGTTCACACCTGCAACCCAGGACTCACTGACTGGGCTGGTGGGTGGAGGGGGCGGAGTGCGGGTGTGCAGGGCCTACCCAGCCTCAGGGCTCCCCAGGGCGGGCTTTGGTGGGTGAATGACAGGTGAGATGCGGAGGGAATTTACGTCTTGGAGAAGACCTTTGTTCTGACCCCTTCCAAGATTTTGTTGCTTGGAAGCAGATCTTTGGTGACAACGTTTCGAGAGACATATATTTCAGCCCATACGCGGTTTGTCATACCTATCTTAGTTGTCGAAGTTAATCATGTTATCAATTAAGTCAGTAACGTGTTAGTTTTCGTTGTAGTAAATTAAAGGCATGAAGTTTCTAACAGCGGCCATGGACTGTTTCTGTGTTGAGTTGCAAAAATCTGTCTTCTGGTCATGGAAGTAACAGAGATAGCGCCAAGTAATTTCCAGCGTCCTTCCTAACTGCTGTCAGAGTCTCATTTAAAAGACATGCTGAACCACTGAGGGATGGGGACAGGACAAGTAAAAGTTAGGTTAGAAAGTAAATACATTGGTGATTAATAAAATTGAAAAGGGGAGTGAATAACTGAGCCAGAAGGGGGGCAGAGACTTCAGGGAGCCTTAGAATGTTATATTTGAGCAAAGAGGTGAGAAAATGAGGTTTGTTGATACCTAGATAGAAAAGCATCTGAGTGGAAGCCTTAGGTGGGAGTCCTGGAGCACGAGCTTGCCTGGTATGCTTGGGAAGAGCAAGAAGCCCAGTGAGGCTGGAGTTGTCTGAATGTCAGAGGCTGATGGGGTCAGAAAGGGAGGAAGGGAAGGGCCCGATTGTGTGGGTCAGATAGACCATTGTAAGGGTTTGGGCTTCTCTGAATAAGGTAGTGAGTTACTGGAGGTGTTTGCACAGGAGGATAATTGATGTGAGCTATGCTTTTCCGTCATGGATCTGATCTTCCAGCTCCTGTTCATCCCCAGTAGCCCCTATCTTCTTTAAAGTAGCAGCTGTGTTCTTCAGGATGCTTAGGCCAGAAGCTGGATTTCCTTTTTGGTGCCCCTCTTTCCCCTCTCAGCCTGAATCTAGTCCATCAGCTGGTGCTCCTGGGTCATCATCCATCCACTTGTCACCATCTTCATTGCTTCCCCATGATGGTCACCACTCTCATCTGTGACCTGGAGTTTATTGATTAGTCTCTTAAGGAGTCTCCTTCCTTCCTTCCTTCCTTCCTTCCATGCCACTGTTGGTTCTCAAAACAGCAATAGGAGAGTCCTGGTAGGTATCTAGGTCTAGGCAGGTGTAAACTTTTTCTCTAAGGGGGAAAATCATAAATTATTATGCTGTGACTAGTTCACAATTGCTCAACTCTGCCTAGAGGTGCAGAAGCAGCCATAGACAACATATAAAAGAATAGATGTGACTGTGTTGCATTGAAACTTTAAAAAACAAAGGGAAAGCCTTAGTTTGCAGACCTCTTTTTTTTTTATTGGTTGTTCAAAACTTTATAAAGCTCATGACATATCATCTTTCATACATTTGATTCAAGTGAGTTATGAACTCCCATTTTTACCCCAAATACAAATGCAGAATCACATCAGTTACACATTCACATTTTTACATAATGCCATATTTGTGACTGTTGTATTCTGCTGCCTTTCCTATCCCCTACTATCCCCCTTCCCCTCCCCTCCCATCTTCCCTCTCTACCTCATCTGTTGTTGTTCAGTTCTCTCCCTTGTTCCCCCCCACCTTTCCCCTCACAACCTCTTATATGTGATTTCGTATAACATTGAGGGTTTCCTTCCGTTTCCATGCAATTTCCCTTCTCTCTCCCTTTCCCTCCCACCACTCGTCTCTGTTTAATGTTAATCTTTTCCTCCTGCTCTTCCTCCCTGCTCAGTTCTTAGTTGCTCTCCTTAAATCAAAGAAGACATTTGGCATTTGTTTTTTAAGGATTGGCTAGCTTCACTTAGCGTAATCTGCTCTGATGCCATCCATTTCCCTGCAAATTCCATGATTTTGTCATTTTTTAGTGCTGCATAATACTCCATTGTGTATAAATGCCACATTTTTTTAAATCCATTCATTTATTGAAGGGCATCTAGGTTGGTTCCACAGTCTAGCTATTGTGAATTGTGCTGCTATGATCATTGATGTGGCAGTATCCCTATAGTACGCTCTTTTAAGGTCCTCAGGGAATAGTCCAAGAAGGGCGATAGCTGGGTCAAATGGTGGTTCCATTCCCAGCTTTCCCAGGAATCTCCATACTGCTTTCCATATTGGCCGCACCAATTTGCAGTCCCACCAGCAATGTACAAGTGTACCCTTTTCCCCACATCCTCGCCAGCACTTGTTGTTCGACTTCATAATGGCTGCTAATCTTACTGGAGTGAGATGGTATCTTAGGGTGGTTTTGATTTGCATTTCTCTGACTGCTAGAGATGGTGAGCATTTTTTCATGTACTTATTGATTGATTGTATGTCCTCCTCTGAGAAGTGTCTGTTCAGGTCCTTGGCCCATTTGTTGATTGGGTTATTTGTTATCTTATTGTTTAATTTTTTGAGCTCTTTGTATATTCTGGAAATTAGGGCTCTATCTGAAGTGTGAGGAGTAAAGATTTGTTCCCAGGATGTAGGCTCCCTATTTACTTCTCTTATTGTTTCTTTTGCTGAGAAAAAACTTTTTAGTTTAAGTAAGTCCCATTTGTTTATTCTTGTTATTAACTCTTGGGCTATGGGCGTCCTATTAAGGAATTTGGAGCCCGACCCCACAATATGTAGATCAGAGCCAACTTTTTCTTCTATCAGGCGCAGAGTCTCTGATTTGATATCAAGCTCTTTGATCCATTTTGAGTTAACTTTTGTGCATGGTGAGAGAAGGGGGTTCAGCTTCATTTTGTTGCATATGGATTTCCAGTTTTCCCAGCACCATTTGTTGAAGATGCTATCCTTCCTCCATTGCAAGTTTGCAGACTTCTTTAGATCAGGACACTCTACTACATTTGGGTTTTCTGTTGCCTGGGATTGGAATACCTTTTTAGGGAAAAAGAGTGATCAGTTGTGAATGATGTCTCTGGAATTAGTCTTTAATTTTGTAAAGTAGGGCTGGAAAATGAGTTTCCTGGCAGATCATAGAGAAACTTGAGTGACGACCACCTTGAAGTTTTGTCTGATTTCTGTCAGCATTATGGAGTGGAGGAGGTTTTTCCCTGGTTATCATACCAAAGCAGGGCTTGTAGTAGAAATACAGAGAGTGATGTGCAGAATGAATGGGAGGGGTGCAGTAAGTAAGGTAAAGTATTTTACTAATGCATAGTGGTAATAATAAAAGCCTGAGTTAATTGAGGGGTTCTAGGAATAAGAGAAGAAAAATATTGTGAATATGAGAAAGTAGGATGAAAATACCTCTTATATCAGAAGAATGGAAGGTTCAGAAATTAAAATCTTAAGTGACATGAGAACTGTGGTAGAGGAAACCAAGATGGAAGGGATATTGGAAATGTGGGAATGAAGTTTTGAAATAACATCAGGATGGTGATTTTTAGCTATTGTCAGATTTGTTGTTGGTAGAGCAGAGGTACCCTAATACACTAACAAGGAAATAGAGAGCATGCTAGTTGGGCACTGAGTTCATTGTAAACAATTTATAGGTGGAGTGGAGATGGGAGAATGGGGGAGTATGTTCTGTCATTTAAAAAAACAAAAACAACAACAATAACAAACAAAACAAAAACAAAGCCCCTGGAGTCAGTGGAGAGGAAAAACAAACAAAAAACACCCAGCTGGCTGCTAAATAGCCTTTGATGAGGTGAGCATGGAATGATGAGAAAGGAGAAACAGATAAAAGGAATTAAATAGTGTTATAGAGGGAATTGAGATGGAAAAGAATGAAAACGGAGAAGAAGGAATTGTATTTGGTTAATTGGTAGGTGGATAATCAGCTTTTAGGAGACATTTCTGATTTGTTGTATGTTACAGCAAGTACTTGGATTAAACTTTTGCATGAAAAACTAAAGATGCAGAGAGAATATATCCTGTTCTGTGTTTTAATACATTGAAACTTCTTTATTTTGCAGAATGTTTACAAGCAAAATACAGGATACTTCTATAGGAGGAACCCATGTCAGTGCTGTGGCTGTGTTCTGATCCATAACATTAAGTTAACAAGTTTCTTCTGAGTTGAGCAGTTGTTTGCTGCACAAAAAAATCTTTCTTTCATGTCTTAATCCATCCTTTCCTTATTTTCTTTAGAAGTTCAACAGATACAGTTACTGCTTTTGCTCAGGTCATTGCGTGATTCAGAAGTGTATAGCTTGACTGCATTTTATACATCCCTTTTTTTTCTTCAGTCTCATAAATCACCTCATCTCTGTTTTCTCACCTCATTGATTATAATGGTTTGTCACTAATCTGGAGCCCAATGTCCATGTGGGTTGCAGTCATAAAAACCAATACAGTGATATGTAAATTAAGCAAGTCTGTTTTTCTTTTTCTGGTGGTACTAGAGATTGGGCTCACTACTACTGACCTACACCCTAACTCTTTTTTTTTTTTTTTTTAAGTTTTGAGACAGGGTTTTGCTACATTGCTGTGGTTGACCTGGAACTTGCTATCCTTCTGCTTCAGCCTCTTAAATTGCTGGGATTACAGATGTGCTCCACTGCCTAGCTAAATTACACAAGTCTTAAGTTAGGTGATTTTAAGTCAGGCTGCTCAACTGGCATAAGTCACTTTATTTTGGTGGAGGAGAGGCCCTTTTTGCCCTACTTCACTGCAAAACAAAGCAATTGGACTTTCTTGGGAATCCAGATGAGAGTTTGAATATGTTCAGCTCATTGAACTAGATGAATTTAGTGAGCTAGGTGTTTGTTCAAGGGACAGACTGA